GGGCCGGCGCTAGGGAGGGCGCGGTGCGGTCACATGGCCCGGGGCCGCGAGCGGCGGGCAAGCCGGGAGGGCGGTGTCAGGGAAGCACCGCCTCCCCGCCGAGCTGCACCGCCGATTGGCTTTGCTCGCGCTACGTGCCCAATCACCGCCCTCCGGAAGTGAGGTCCGCGCCCCCTAGGGCGTCCCCGCCCCAGCCGCGGGAGCGCGCAAGAGCGCGCCTGCGCAGGCCCTCGTTCCTCCGAGCATCTTGGGGGTGCTTGGTCCATAGGACTGTGTTGGGGTCTGTCGGGTCGTACGTGCAGTGCTGGGACTCCCTTGCCTTCGGCACCCGGCGCCGTGTTTCTGGCCTTCTCGTGTGTCGCCCACCTGACCCTGAATCTCGGCGCATCACCCCTCCCCGCGAGTGCATTTCTGGGTCCCTTAGCGCCTCCTTTGCCCGCCGCCCCGCGCATCCCTTATCCCCGTGCGCTCCTGGGCCCGCCCCCCCAGGCTGTATACACCAACCCCCTCCCCGTCTCTGCGTCTGGGTCCCCGTGCCCGCGGCTGCATCCACTTTGCTAGGGGTGGGCACCCAGCTCCTACGTGGATCCTCTGACCCGGCCGCCTCCCCTTGCTTCTCTGGGTTTTACTGAAATCTGACAAGTCCCGGGACAAGGACCCCTGACTGAGGCTGGCAGGGTACTGGAAGGTCAGGTCTGCAGCAGGCCTGGGGACCTGGGCAGGCCAAGGAGGCTCTTCTGTTGTGGACTAGGGTAGCACTTCCCGCTGCTCCTGGTGGGTTTCTGGTCTAAGTCAACAGACTTAAGAAAAGCCTTTCTGCATCTCTTGTTTCTTTGTCCCCAACTTTACACAGTTGCTTTCTCCTGTTCCTCCCTGTGTCTTGTCTACAAGTACCTTTGTTGAAACAATCCCAACATGAGCCAGCCGGCTTTCAACCAGCTGCCTCCCTGCCCCTGGGGGGGTCACTGTGACAGCCTCCACCACCACCCGGTGGCTCTCCTCTTGCTAAGGCCAGGCTGCTGGACCATGCTTTGCCAGAGGCAGCCTCCCACTGTATCACTAAGATCCGAGAGGCAGACAGCTGTGTCTGCTTGAAGCCAGGGTCCCACTTGGAGAGAACAAGGGGACCTGTGTTTCCCTCATGGTGCCTGCTCCTCGGTCTGTCCACGGCCAGCTGTCTAGGGTACTGCCCCACACTATGGCCCTCCGGGGTCCATACCTAGATGGGGCCCCTGTTCGGATGGCCACAGCAGCCCTGTGAGGATAGGCTGCCTTTGGTGGGGAACAGAGGACAGACCTCTATGACCTCAGCTGCTGGCGTGCAGCTTGGGGACAGGACTGGGTGCCATTGCAGGCAGATGAATGGGCCTCTTGACACAGGCAGCACAAGCACAACCAAGGAGCAGATGTAGGGTGACTTGGCTGAGCACTGGAGCTTGACACCATCACCCCCCTCAGTACCAGGCACTGCTGTGAGCCCTCAATGGATGTTGTATTGCTGCCCATCCCATTTGACAGAGAAGGAGATTGAGGTATACAAGTTTTCTACCCCTCTGCTTTGGAGGGGCCAGGATATAGATTCACTCAGTCTGGGCTGGCATCACCCCAAGTGATTAGTCCCTGTGGTCACAGAGCACACAAACATGCCACTCACACTCATGTACTAGTGTTGTGGGGGAGAGGGGCTCTGTTTTTCTGTGTTTTCCAGGTAGGCAAAGCACACTGAATCAGTTTTTTTTTTTTTTTTTTTGTCAAACCAGTTGTTTGTATCTTTGTCCTCTGTGTTCCAAAATGATGCAATATTGCTCTTCCCTTGTGGACTTTGGTGAACCAAAAGCCAGGAGGTGCCCTTTCCCAGGAGCCAGGCATGGTGCAACACCCCGAGTCCAATGTTTGAAGCATGTTACCATGACTTTCTTAAAAGAAATTTGGTTCATGTTGGATAATGTGGTTGGGAAGGTGGTCCCAGGAGAGGGTCCCTAAAGCCCTAGGGCTGAACTCAGCTTGTAACCCTGCTGAAAACTCCATTATCGTGCTGCTGCCTGTCCTCAAACCTAAGTTTGTTTTTAATGAATCAACCTCTTGGGGTTCCAAATGATTTGTAGGACTTCTGCAGTGAGAAAGAGGAAAGCCCCAACCCCTAGGCAGTTGAGCAATGCATAGGCTCCTGTTCCACTGCTGTCATGGGGGGTCCCCACAACCTGCAGGTCAGGGTAGACTTTTCTAGCTGTGCACTTTTCACCTTGAATCTTGTTCATCAACTCAGCTAAGATGATACAAAATCGGGGTGGGGATGGCATGCAGGCAAGATGGGAGTGGCTGCTGCTTGACTAGAGCCTCTCTCTAGGCAAGGAATCTTGGCTGTTTCCAAGACACAGGGACCATGGGGACCCACTTACCCTTTAGTGTGCCAGGTGCTCGGTGATGAACCCTAGCTGGCTCAGGTCCTGCTTCCCTCCCTTGAGAAGGTACCTGTCTCCCTGTTCTTCCTCTGGAGCAGTCCCAGGCTCTGAGGTGAATGGAGGGCACCATATGCCAATAGCTCCTTCTGCTGAGAAGCAGTCCTAGTGGGACAGGTCCCTGGTCAGCTGCTCCAGTAGCAGAGACAGAACTCCCACGACTCCTAGAGGTGGCCTGTCACACCCTTTGCCTTGTGTGAGTCATGTTGGCCCAGGCCCCTGTCACTGAGGATGGAAAGAACTTGACACAGAGGGTATAGAAGTCATGTGGAAGAACTGGAGATGCAGCTGTCCAGAGGGGAAGGGCCACAGTGGCCAGGAACTGAGGCAGGCAGTGTGACAGGCCCGGGCCCACGGGAGTGGAGCAGGACTCTCAAGGGGTTGCCACCTAGAAGCTAGAATTTGTGGACATCCCTAGCATATATCTGTTGCCCACTGAAAGCATCCTATGACAAAATACCAACCTCAAAGACTCCCTGTGTCAAAAGGTGCACCTTTGCTCTTTTATTTCTTTTTTCCAGTACTGGGGACCAAGCCCAGAGCCTTCCTCATGGGAGGTAAGTGCTCTACCCCCAAGTTTATTCTCAGCCCTTTTTAACATTTCATTTTGAAATGAGGGCAAATCTCCCAGGCTGGTCTCTAATTTGCCATCCTCCTCCCTCCCCTCAGCTTCATGAGAAACTGGGATCACAGGCATGCCTCACCCTCACCAGACTCATTTGTTTTTTTAGTAATAGTTATCAAGCCAATTTCAAACCCTGAAGATACTGGAAAGAAGACACTGAATATGGTGATTACCCTTGAGAAGTGAACATTCTTCTGGAGAGGGAACACGCAGTCACCCAACCACCTTTCACATCATGTGTTCAGGCAGGATGGGGACAGGTGAGGGCTGAGACCTAAAGGGCAATACAAATCCTCAATGGGCAAAGGCAGACATTGGCTCAGGAGGAATCCAGCTGCCTGGTCAGGGGCTGAAGTTGGAGCATCCCTGAAAACTGAGATCAGGATGCCCAAGCCCCCAACCCCTAGGCAAGGCCTCAGCCCAGAGCAGCCCCAGTGCCTCCAGGTGGGGAGGACATGCATGTTGCCTTAGAGGAAGACCCAGAGACCAGGACATCACTTCATAGACTCAGGATTGACAGTGCCACACCCCATCCATCTTTTCATCTTTTGAGAAGCAGAGCTTCACATTCTGGAGGTCATTCTGCTTACTGATGGGTACCTATATATGTTGTGCTTTTGGGGCTCTCTGGCTCACTGCCCAAACCACAGTTGTGTCTATGGGGAGGTTCTCACATCATTTCTGTGGCTCTTTAGGACTTTTACACTTAGATCATATGATATCTTCTTATCCAGTCAGGTTTTGCATGACTAGTGTTCAAGGCACTGTTTTGGGGTGATGGCAAACAACACATATTGGTACGTGGATATCATGCACAAAGCCAGGGCATCCAAGGAGGGGCAGAGGTCTATCATCCAGGGCACTGGCATGAAAGGGACAAAGTAGGTGTTCCCCAATCCCCATGGCCCTGCTAGCCCTGGGCCTTTGGCTATTTACATGTGAATTTGGAGTTTTCTCTTGAGCTCTGGATTGAGATGCACACGCTGTATCTATCACCTAACAACATGCCATGAACATTTTTCAAGCCCTAAATGCTTTCTTGAATGTCACTTGTGTTCCATGATGTGGATGCCTATAACCAGCACCTTGCACCTTGGTTTCCAGGCCTGTAGACCAACATCATATGTGTGAAAAGCAGCAGTGCATCCCATTAAAAAGGTCTCATCCTTTAAAGACTAGTAAGAGTTTCAAGAAGGAGCTAAGATTGCCATTGTGAATAGAATTTAGTAATTACCCAAGGAAACACAAGGATAGATCCTGGGAAAAGGAGGATTAATCAGAATTGAGACTATCCTGAGATATAGCACATTGGGGAAGGGTCCCTCCCTCAAGCCCATACAAAAGAGAACAGAATACTCAGCAAGGCAGATGCCCAAGTTCAGACTACCATGACAAAGTAACATATATGAGGGAGTTTGTAAATGACAAATGTGTTTCTCACAGTTCTAGAAGCTGGAAGCCCAAGATCCAAGGGCTGGCAAATTTGAGATCTGATGAGGCCCCTTCCTGGTTTATGAACAGCCCCAATGCACTCCATCCCTCATGTGAACAGGCAAGGCAAGTCTCGGGGTGCTTTAATATGGGTGCTAATTCTAGGCTAGGGGTCCCAAAGCCTCCTACCTAATACCATCATCTCGGGATCTAGCTTCTTTTCTTTCTTTCTTTCTTTCTTTCTTTCTTTCTTTCTTTCTTTCTTTCTTTCTCTCTTTCTCTCTTTCTCTCTTTCTCTCTTTCTTTCTCAGACAGGGTTTCACTGTGTAGTTCAGGCTAGTCTTGAACTTACCACGAAGTCCAGGCTGGCCTTGAAATG